CGCGGGAGGCTGCATTAACTGAGAGTATTCGACACCAACCGAGCCTGGTGCTTACCGTGGTGAATATTTCCGCTGGTAGCTATCTGTGGATGTTTCAGAGAGATCAAAGGAAGAGGCGGTTTTTCTTATTTTGCTTTCGTTCGCAGGTTTCGTTCACCCCATTTCTCGCCTCTAAATTTTGTTTTAATAACCAGAAGAGGCATGTAGGCGCTGTCGAGCACGGTATACTTCAATAGTAGACCTAGGTTTGATTCTCTGCGTGATGACCTACTGAAAATGTCATTTACTTTTCTGTGTTTAGCCGCACCGGTAATTGTCAGATGAAGAAAGGAAATGAAACACTTTTCTTGCTTGAGAATAAACGTAAAGAGAGACCGGCACATTATCGTCTTCAAATTATATTTTTGCTGTCACAAGCATATCTTTTAAGAGATTTTTACCTTTTTTGTAAGCGATGATCGGAGGTTTTGTAAAAATTGTTTTCAGCAAGGGCTGATTGTGTTTCAGACTCCAATGTTTCATCAGTATTTTTATTACATTTCTGACTGCCAGTTGGCACGTTATGACAAAAGGTAAGAAACTTTCGTGACCTTTTGGCTATTGTGTGTGTGAAAGGGCCGCCGGATTGTTTACCCCTGACAAAGACCTTCTCATGGTGTTTTCTGGGTACCCTCATGCTTTAAGGCGTTGTTTTAATTTCAAAAGGCCTCTTCAAATTTCTTTTTAGAAGAGTTAGTTCTAAGTAATCTTATTTCTTCGCCTTAATGAAAACATATTTTACGCCTAATGGGTGGCACGAGGTCAAGTGCGTAAATTGGAAGGTCTCGGTCGGCTCATAATGGGTTTTGATGTGAAAGATGGCATCTTTGGCGAATCTTTCCCCTTTAAACTGTAACCGTTCTCATGATTGGAAGAAAAACGACGATTTGATACCAAAATTTAAAATTCATTACGTGGACAAGGCCTCACAGTTAGAACACAAAAAGAACAGAAAGTGTCAAGGCAGCTTTCAAGTTGCGTCGACTGGTTCTCACAGAAAATTTTCACAGGAAGTGTCACCTTCTTAAATTAATCTGGAGGTGTAAAAAACTTTGACGGAAATGCAGTTCATCGCGACTCTTTTCATCGCAGCTTTTATTGTTCCCTCAGTTCTAAAAAAAAGGCAATGACAATTTGCGATAAGAGGTCTTCAGGTCTTCAGGAGTGTATCCCAGAACTGTTCTTTTAGAAGTACAACAAAGTGATCTGGCAATTGAGGTTGCCACTTTACGGGAAAGCCTTTTTAACCATAGGTGAAGCAGGGGAGCAGTGCGAAGTATGATAAAAATCTAGGTGAGACTCTCCCGCTACCGTTCGACTATCGAATGATCTTGTGAACACAAGAAGTTATGTTTCTTTTCGCTTTCCTTTATTTTAATTTTCCGAAAAGTTTCATCTTACTCAGGAAATGTTATAAGAGAAGTTAAATGAACTTAATATGAACATTTACTTCATTTTTGTGTTAGAAAATCATGTTACGTTCCAGTTAAGCTGAAAACGGCACGGAAAAATCGCCTTAAACGAATACAAGCAGGATTTTACTACAATCCTAATCAAATCCTGTTTTTTGTGGATGACTTTTAGTTGTTCGTATTTACTTATTACGACTCGAATTTTTCTCTTCACAGAATGCTCATGACGTCATTATTACTGTTTCCCGCATTAGTTTCTGTAAGCTCACATCATTCAACGTTGTTTTATTTACAATAGTTGAGGGTGTGAAAAATGTAAAAGAAAAGTTGATAAAAGAGGGCGCTACACTGGCACAACATGGCTACTTTTACGTCCCAAATAACCTCAAACTGCAGTGCAAGGTACGATACTTCTAGAATTAAACAACTGTCCTCGGAAAAAAGTCTGAAAAACCTCACAATCAACAGAATTGAATTATTTGATTTACTCGTGGAGTTTACTGTAATCCAGGGGTTTCAATAAAAGCTGGTTACCGCACAGCGGCCCAAGCTCACTTTGAGAACGACAAGGAACATAATTTGCATATCGATTTATAAGGATTTTTATGGGATTTTCTACAAGATACCTATAGAGGCAGTTAAAAGTGAAAATATTAAATCAAAGTAGCTTACCATATTCCATGTGTGTGTTGCTTGCTCCTGGTGTCGTTATTTTACCGATTTCACTTGATTTCAGCGTTTTTTTTTTTATGCTGGTTTTCTCTACCGATTTCACTCGATTTAAGCTGTATTTTTTAATCCTGGTTTTCTCTTTTCTTTAAGAAGAGAAAAATATATATATATAGATATATTCATTGTATCTGATTTATCATCACGGGTTTATTACGAATCAACTTAACGGCCTGCTCCCAGCTGGCTTCTTAGCTCAATTGGTAGAGCGATGCACTAGTATCGCAGAGGTCACTGGTTCGAATCCTGTACAGGCCTGATTTTTTTCAGGTCTGATTTTCGCTATTGCATGAATAGCGCTCTCTACTGCGAAGATCGTGCATCATACGTATCTAATACCGCAGTTCAAAATATATGAACTTCATATATTCATTGTATCTGATTTATCATCACGGGTTTATTACGAATCAACTTAACGGCCTGCTCCCAGTTGGCTTGTTAGTTCAATTGGTAGAGCACTGCACTAGTATCGCAGAGGTCAGTGGTTCGAATCCCGTACAGGTGTGATTTTTCCTATTGCATAAATAGCGCTCTCTACTACGAGGATCGTGCATCCTACGTATCTAATACCGCAGTTCAAAATATATGAACTTCATATATTCATTGTATCTGATTTATCATCACGGGTTTATTACGAATCAACTTAACGGCCTGCTCCCAGTTGGCTTGTTAGCTCAATTGGTAGAGCGCTGCACTAGTATCGCAGAGGTCAGTGGTTCGAATCCCGTACAGGCCTGATTTTTTTCAGGTCTGATTTTCGCTATTGCATAAATAGCGCTCTCTACTGCGAGGATCGTGCATCATACGTATCTAATACCGCAG